AAATCATTAATCACTGTCATCTTACGTACATACAGTGCAGGTACAGGTATTTAAGCCAATGCGTCAGCTCAGATCCGTCATTTTACACACATTTTTCAGGGTGGCTGGTGTGTAATTTTAGCTGTTTCCCCCTAACAGCCGGTTAGACTGGGAGGATGTTTGCTTTTATTGAGAAAAACACAATTAAAGGCTGTGAAATACCACTGAAGCAGAACTTACTTTGGAAACATTAAAGGTTGTGCAGAGTAAATGAGGTGGAATAGAAACACTGATACATGCATGGACCTGTGTGTGTATGTGTGTGTGTGTACAGAGAGTGAGGTGTGTTTACAGACATGGACCCTCAGCTGTGCAGGAGTATAAAGGCCGCTAGTGTCTGAGAGCTAGGCCAGTATAGGTGACCTTTGCCTTCCCTTCCCAGCAGAGCCATCCTGTAGCAGAGGTGTGAATATTGCACCTGGATGTTTTGTTATAGAGACAGAGACTCTCATGCCCTGCTGGTCAACCTGTAAACCAGCCTCAAACTTGGCAGGCTGTCCCACGTCTGCATGATGTGTTCACAAAAGACCCTTTTCACTACATCTAGTCAGAAACGAATGTCTACAACATCCTCACATTTGTCTCACACAGCCTGAGCCCAGAATTCACTGACATGCACACTGTGTGTAAGGCTTTGCCCTACATCCTCTGTAATCTTTTGCGAGGGATTTGTCATCTTTTCTTTCTGAAGTTTTTGCTGACGTAAGGCAACTTCACGACAAACTACACTTGTAATGACGATCTGCAACACAGAGCCACAGGTACTTGTGCAGAAACACAGGTGGTATACAACTAGAAATGAACGGCTGCGATGCTGCCTGTCTGGGACCCAAACATCTGCCCTCCAGATGTGATGTGCTTGTTGACTATTCTACTTAAGATAAAGTCTATGTTAGATGAGATGAGGTTTTTATTAGCCATAGTAGTGTCTGTGTGTCTGTGATTTGGTCCACCACTTTGGTCCAGGCTGAAATATCTTAACAACTTCTGATTTCCTATTAAATTTGACTCTTGTTCCCCTCAGCATGAATTATAATAGCTTTGGTGATCTCTTCATCTAGCGCTATCATGATGTCAAAATGTGAATTTGTCCTATACTTTGAAGAATGCTTACTAAACTAAGATGGTGAACAAGAATATACTCTCTAGACATCAGCATGCTATGTTGTTACTTACATATGTTGTTGTACCTTGATTGTGAACAAAGGATACAATATATTGTTGCCACTGATAACTTTCCCGAGTATTCTGTGCATCTGAATACAATGAGACTGTTATTCAAACTGGTCTTCCTACATTGTATTTCATGTCTCACCGGTACCTTAAACAACACTCCTTCACCAT